TGCTTACATATATAACACACCTTCCAAGCATTCTTTTAACAGATAAGTTACAAATCAATGGATAGGGGATTTAGCGAGCAATGAATAAAACTGTTAGGCTGCACGTGTAAACTAGTTATTTCAATACATATCAAAGTACAAAACGAAGCAACAATTCTAACTAATGAACAATGAAAGTCACTAATGTAATTATTTAAAATAAATCCAGAAAATTACACAAATGAAGTAACTGGAACCCCACGAGCAAAAAGAAATGCACTAACATTAGTCCACAATCTCTAGGGAGTCGATCAAATCAAGACCTATAATTCGGACAATTTCGACTATTGTGACCCGTCTGATGACAATTTCGACATCTTCTTGGTTCGTCTGCATCCCTTTCATCCATCTCATTCCGAATTCGTCTAGCTCGAACTCGCCCTGCCCAACGTTTCACAAATTTGCTCGGTCTGCCTGCAGGTCCCACCCAGGCTGTTGCCAAGTATCTTGATGCGGCAGTGGGAAAAACTTCCCTGAATACTGGACGGCCCACCTTATCTTGGTAAAATGCTGGTCAAAAAGCAATCCCGGATTGTCACATCTATTCCTGCACACCGCCAAAGCGTGTGAACAAGGACGCCTGTATATCTGCCACTTTCCACAGGAGCATGTCTTATCAAAAAACCTGATGATTTGCGTATTGCCTCCTTTACCATCGACACGCCGCCCAGTGATTACCTTGTATACGCCCGATGGGCCATCGAACTCAACGACTCTGTGGGCGCCTGCCTTCCGCTCACCAACTGTAAAACGCCGCCATATCTTTGGGAGAAAAGGATTGCGACAATGTGAAACTTCTTCCCTTCTCCTCTTAAATAATTCAACTGTCCGATGAAAAGTCATATCAATGTATGCACGAATTGGCAAATGACGCGCCCCCCGCAAGACATTATTATAGCTTTCGGATATGTTGGTAGTTAGAATACCCCAACGACGGCCATCGTCGTGTATTAGGCACTACTTTTCTGGACTAATGGCTGACAGATAATTTCAAGCATCCGGAAACATGCTTCGCAGTTCTCTCCTGAACATTCGCCACTTGCGTAATTGTCTTGCCCTTCCCATTGCCCAACACAACTTGCGAAGGTGTAAACCTTTGAAGTGTGTCATCAAATTGCTCCTAACATGTCGCAGGCAAAATCTATGGTACGCTAAAGGTTCCTCCCAATAGTCAAAGTGTGTCATGGTATAGATGATACCATTGTGGCGATCAGAAATGACACAGATAGGATGTCGATCAAGCGCCACATTATATCTCAATTGTTCCATGAACCACGACCAACTGGAAATCGTCTCTTCATTCACTATGGCATAAGCAATTGGTAGAACGTGGTTGTTCGCATCTTGAGTGACTGCAACAAGGAGTTTGCCCTTGTATTCGCCACGCAAATGAGTGCCATCAACGCATATAACCGGCCTGCACATGTGGAATGCTTCAATAGCTGGCCCAAACGCCCAGAATACATATTTAAAGGTCTTAACTCGATCCGAACTATCCGAATGATGTGACCACTCTACCACGGTGCCTGGATTGGATTGTACCAGGGCATCAAGATACTGTGGTAGTTCGGAAAAATTCGCCTCCCAAGATCCAAACACAAGCTCAATTGCTTTACGTCTGGCATACCCGGCTTTTTTGTAAGACACATCAACCTTCAAGTTTTCTTTAACGTCACTTAGTATGTTCTTGACCTTTAATCCAGGGTCATCTTCAACCCGACGGAGGATGTGCCTTGAAATAACGGAAGCTGTGAGGCTTGTATTGTTATTTCTAATCATATCGCCCAAGCAGTTATGGTCATTGACCCATTTTGTAATTTGCCACATTTCATGGGTCTTTTTCTTTACGGCTCTAACACACCAGTCGCATGGTGGATACGATGGGGAAGTTGAAGTGGAAGGAGTTCTTTCAATTGATGATTTGCATTTAGCAAACCACGTGTTACTCTTACTCTCAATAACTCTGAACTCCCTATTGTGATTGATGGACCACATCCTAACTGCTCGGCTGAGCTGCTGCTTACTCTCAAATCTCATATGGAAACGTATATTATTATTCTCCTCACAGAATGTTACAATACGCTCCAATCCACCCTCCTCTTCTATATCATCATCATCTATACTCCCAAGATCGGAGAAAAAGGCCATTCCTCTTGGCACATATGCAGAGCTGCCAGCTGGGCTATTGCGTCTGTCCTCTTGGAACATATCGAGGTTTACTCTTAAATCCCCACCTTCATGCTCTTCATCCGAATCACTACCAGACACATCTTCCGACTCCGACTCTTCAACCTCTTCCGCATCAACTTCCCGGTCATCGTCTTCCGGATTATCTTCTTCAGAGGCACGGAGTCTATCATGTATACTACCATATAGATCATCTTCAGCCGAACTGCGACAACCTTGACCAGGGTGTGAGTCTGGTTCTAATGAATACATAGATCGATCATCATGCATATAGTGACATGCCGATGAAGTCTCTTGAACGACTGAACTAGAACCAAAGTTAAACTTTGTTGGATCCATGAATGCATGTACAAGCGACATCATTGGACCAACATTACATATTGGTCCAGTGAATACGCTATTAACTACAGGCATTTGGACGATTTTTTCCTTCTCGATATAAATCTCCGCCATGTATGAAACTCTTTCGATCCAAAGATCGTACATTACATCAAGAGTTTCATCATCCACCACTGCGGAAACAGTATATTTGGAACTCTCCAACGGTTGACGAAGAAACAATTTCAGCTTGAACACCCCTTTATCGACCCCAATATAGTGGTAAATCCTGTCAACCAACTCCCCGTATCCAATTCTATGCCTCAATATGAATGTCCGGTTGGAAGTACGAGGCAAATAACAAACAAAGTCACCCTCGTAATGTATTTGTCCTCCCCAGTATAGGTTTACCCGCAGAGGTCTTTCTACAGACATGTCTGTGAAATGTATCCCTATTTTTAGGACAATAAATTTAAATTAATAGTCCAAGGGTCCAAACAAATGAAAGAGGGTGGACTCTAGGTCGAAATTGGAACAATTAATTAGACTAATTTAGATGAGAAGAAGGAAGATGAAAAAATTGAAAACATGTATGAAATATACTATAAATGACGATACGAATCGCCTAAAACTCCGAACGAAGTTTTTGGAAAAATTGGACAGAGCCTCCCTTAAAAATAGACTACAACTCTCTATCTGCAAATCCAAACAGGGTAAGAAATGTACAAGCGTAAGAAATGTACCGGAAGTTATATATATTTGGGCTCCACATTCACACCGCATAACAAGATCCACATTGACAATGATGTGATATTATACCAATGAATCTTACAAAATTAATGTTTTTCCCTGTAACTTATTTTGCCACTTTTTTAGCATAATAGATTTTGCCAATTACAAAAAACATTACAAGGTTGGTCAGTGATTTTCAATCCATCAATTCGCCTTAAAATATATTGGTATTTCATGTTCTACCGCCTTTTTCTACGGCTCACAAAATTAAACAAACCATCGTCTCCTCAAAGTGACCGAAAATATCCATAGTTGTAATATAACATAAATTAGCTAATGGCTTGTATCAAATCCGAATTAAGCCTTATGCATAAGGAATGGTAGTTGTAATATAAAATAAATTACCAAATAGTCAGTTGCCCTCACAAAGAAATATCTACAAAAATATCGACATAGTCTCCCCTATAAAGGGGCTCACAATCCAAATATCCATGAAATGCAAAAGCTCCAATCTATAAACTACATACCAAATTTCTAAGCTCCAATTGCAAAACATACATTGTCCAATGTACATAGTGTTTCGACCAAAACTAATAGTTGTGCAGTAGATTTAAAAAAAAAATTATGATGAATTTTAAAAGAATTCTACAAATGGGGCATTTTGAGCATGGGACTATGTACAAATGGGACTACGTACAAAGGGTTTTCGCATTCACCAAAACTGAACTCACGGAGCTCTCAATAACTCGAACTACGGCATCCCAAAAAAAAATTAAAAAAAAAAATCACACCTCGCATTGTATTATGAAATGCAGAGATCCGAGCTCGGATAATTTATGGCATCCTTCGGATCCAACAGGGTTCGGATTTGTGTCAAAGGATGATCAGACGAGCCCTCGGATCCGGGTGAACAACTATGGATCCGAGCTCGTATCGAAAACATCCGAGCTCGGATCCGTCTGTGTTGAGTCTTATCCGAGCTCGGATCATGCTTTTTCTGCACTAATTGCAGAAACGGCAAATAAACTGCTCCAACATTGGAGAGTGCAAACATTGTACGAATTCGCAAAATATAACGTATATCCTCAAATCCATCCACAAAAAATGCAAAAATAAGAACAACCCACGTCAAATTTAAACCCAAATTTCACCACAAATCTGAACTTGTCTTGGATTCAGGTATTCAAGTATTAATTAAACTTAAAATGCTATTAGTGAGGCATTGCAAGTGAAAAAGCCTAACCTTTATGCTGTTGGAGAGTTGGGACGGCAATGCAGAAAATTTTTTGGCAAGCGGCACGCGCGGAACCAGTCTTTGGAAGATCCGCTCAGCTCCGGTCTTTGGATGCTTCGACCACCTCTGTTTTCTTTGTTGTGCTTTTACGTACAATTTCGTATTATTTGTTTTTCTGTTCGACAGCTATAAAAGGCACTGCTGCTTCGTCTGTGCACTTTTGCCTTTTTTTTTTCGAAATGGAGTCTTGGCGGTGAGCTCCTCACTGAGCTTGCATTCTGCTCACTGAGCTCGCATTCTCAGAATGCGAACACCCCAATTACAGAAACTCATTCAAAAAACGCCCTCGTTGTAGAATCATTTTTTTTTTCCATCACAAAGTAAGAATTCACCCTTTCCTCATTTCATTATAGTTTTTACTTTGAGATCTCTTCAATGAGCTAAAGATTACTCGAGGCCTTCAATAATAAGAATGTCAAATAACAGGAAAATGGTTACTGTGGATGTGGCTGCTGGAGTTGTAGGAAATTGGAAGGAGACATATCAGTGGATACTTATATTTGGTGTCATAGCTGCAATCTCACTGGCATTTTCCGCTGGTGAAAACAACGTTCCAACTTCAGTATGTGTTGTGAGCATGATAATCAGTGCTACAAATTGAACACCATCAGTTGCATTCTCAAGGACTAATTACTTTTTGTTTTCTTTGAACTTTAATCCATCTCTCTTTTCATCTTTCATGGTGATCTTAAACATCATGGCAGTTCTCGTTGCCGGTAGGGTCAGGGTCTCTGACATTTCTGAAGGCAGCAATACTGGCATTTATGGTCTACATTCCCGGAACAGCCTTGGCAAGCAGTGGTTCTATTAGTACACTTTTCTCTGATGTAAGGGAACAAACTAATCCCTCTGTCGACATAAATTGATCTTATGCAACAAAAGAAAATAGTCCTTGTTAGCTCTGGTAGTGTTTTTGTCTTTACTCTTTTATATAACAAATTAAGGCAGCGGTCCATGTAGAATAGTTATCTGATCTGAATCATATGATAGATTCCCACTTTTGTGAAGTGGCTTATGAGAATTTATGCTTACAGCAGTTCCCTAGAGAGAATCAACCAATTCAAGGATTCTTAATGTGGAGTATGGTAGTTGTTCTCATCACAGCAAGTAATTCTCAATGCTCAATTTTTTATTACATTTTTCACATGGATTCTGATTCATTTGGACACTGGTGACAGCGCTATGGCTGGCAATTGCAACTTATTTCGAGCTACCAGTGTCATCTCAGCAGTCAACACAAGGTGCCCTTCTAGGGACGATGCTTGTCAGTGAAGGTTTTGGCTTCATACCTTTCTGGAACAAGGTTCACAATATAAATTATGACAAAACAAATTCAACTGCAAACTCTTCCTTTTTGAGTTTTATTATTACATAGGTTTCAAATCAAGAGATTTTTGTAATTTTCTTTCTTCTGTAAATTGTATATTATACCCTAGCTTATTTACTTCCTTGTTTTAAACATGATCTGAAGTTTTAACTCTAAATGAGTGTCTTGACAAGGCCGTCAAGTATATTAGTTTCTTTTTTTTTTTTTTTTTTAAACTGCTGCTTTTGCTGTTGATTCTTGATGTCTCAGAATGGATATCATAAGTTCAATGGTGGTGGTCTTCTCTGGATTTTCCTCGAATGGACTGTGGCTCCTATAGTAGCTTGTGCTGCTGCATTTTTATTCTTTAAGATCCTGAAGGTTGCTCTTCTATCTCATGAAAATTCAGAGAAAAGGATCCTGATTTTCCTCCCTATTTACTATGGAATGGCCGCTGGACTGCTTTGCTTTTTTATCATGTATCAGGTACTCTAGTTTTGCTCTGCCTTGTCTTTATTTCAGGTAGTATGTTATTCAACTTTTTCTTTTTCTTAAATGAATTTAATTTGGGCAAGCTCTTAAAATTCATTTAACATTCCTTCCAAAAGAGGACTTGTAAATTATACCGCATTTCCTTTCAGTTTCATCTTTAAAGACAAAAGGAATAAGGTTTGGCAAATTGCCATTAATTATTTTCATTTTCAGTGGACTCCAAAACATGCTTATTGTCACTTTGAATTGGCAGATTCTACCAAATCTTATGATGGTCAACATGTGGACTATCGTCATTGCTGTCACATTGTCTACCTTGATTGGAGCAGTTTCATCTTCGGTAAGCATAAACTCTGTACTTGATTTGGATTCAAATGTTCATTATATACTAAGCTTTTAATTACTTTGTTCTTACTTATTTTGTATTGCAAATGTTTGGCAATGGTAGTTTGTGGTGGTTCCTTTTGCTAGAACAAGAATGGCTTCTGTTCCGCGATTCAAGACGATGAAGAGAACAAAATCAATGGAGCAAGAAGGCTTAGAAAACCAAGATGAAGCCTCTGATGCTAAAGTTGAAGAAATGCTGAGAGATTTCATGCAGATGAGAGTTCTTGATACAGTCTATGAAGAGGAGGAAAAGAGCTGGGCTTCACCTGAAAATGCAGCAGGTAGTGAACATGCTCAATCAAATTCTCAGCTGGGATCAACACCATTAAGACAACTGCTTGAGTTGACACCTAATCAGTTGGTTAAACCAAGAAACTTCGATAGCATTGAGAGAGAGACTGTCTTCGATGCTATTAGACATTCTGTTAAATCTATCCTTTTTCCTTTAAGTATCCTGACTTCTGATGTCACATTTTTCAGTTATTTCTTGAGCAATGTCAAACTGACACAGTAGCAAATACTAACTGAAGAAGTGTAATACTAGGCTAATGATTAGATTTCCAAGGAACTTTTCCAAAATTGTGAACTTTTTCTTGGCAACGTTGCAGTGATTACCCAAGTATTTGCCAATTTATATTTGTCACTAAAGATCTTACTAGAATCTTGCAACTGCTAGTTATACAAGTTTGCTCTAAATTTCTAGGTATAATATTGTGTTTATGTTTCTGGAGCAGGTCATACAGTACGACAGACCTACTCTAATACGCCATGCTATAGTAGAAAATTTTGATGATATGGAAGACTTCTTTGGTTTCCACTGCTTCTATCATCATGCATATTTGCGTGGGTTTTGCTTAGTCTTTGTTCTCTCTACCACTAATTCTTTAATTCTCATATAGTCCTTTGCGTTCAGTAAAAACAGAACGATTAAAATGTCGGAGTTATATAAGATTTTGTACTAACTGCAGGCTTATCCAATCTGCAAACGAGATTGCTCCTCTAATGAGCCCATTCAGTGCCATTCTTGATGTTTTTAAGCACAGAACAAAGTATTTGGGAAATGGAGAAGATGTGGTAAGCTTTTAAATCTTCTGCGTCTTGTACTTGTCTTCTCAGAATCAAGAACTGAAGGATAGCAACATCCACACATTTTCTTTTCCACTTTTAATAGACAAGAACCAGCATCTATTATCATAATTGATCACAGAACTATTGTTGCCTTAAGATTGTTATGATACTGCACACCATGGCTGCTAAGATTTGAACCTTCTCCACTGATGCAACTAATGATCAACTTTGGAGGACACTTCATCAGGATTTAGTAGAGATACTTATAATCTAGTGATGATGACACTGATAGGGTTCTTTAGGAGTTCAATGGTGGATTAGAGCAATTGGAGGACTTGGTGCATCTACCGGATTCCTTCTTTGTGGCTGGCGTCTTACACAATGCCTTAGCAGCAGGCTGACATACGTTAGTAATTCAAGGGGACTGGCCTCACAGTTGTCTACTGTGGCAACAATCATCATTGTTTCCAGAGTGAAGCTTCCAGTGTCAAGTTTGCATGCTTTTGTTGGAGCTTTAGTAGGAGTTGGGCTTGCTGATGAACCACGGGTAAGGTTAATACAATATCCAAATACTGCCAAAACTTAACAGCCTCCTCAGTCCTCAAGAGTCAAGATTAAGTATTTCAGAACTAGGCAATAAGTACCATCTTGAAAGTATCAATGCCAATAATGCTTATTGTGCACTCAATCTCATAAATGGACCACATTCAGGCAGAAAATGGCACAACAATTCAGTAATGATGCTGAAGTTCTAAATCATTGGACTGACTGTAAATCAATGGCAACCTTCATTGATTGGACTGACTGTAAATCAGTTATTTTTGAATTCACAAATCATTGGTTGGATTGTTGCAGAATGTGAACTGGAAGCTCCTGCTGAAATTCCTCGGTGGGTGGATTGCTACAATCATATTCTGCTCTACTGTGGCTTATGGCATCTACTCTGCTTCAATACACTCTCCAGCATACGTGGTGCCCTGACCTTTAGATATGCTCAAGTACTCCAATCCAACTGGTTCTTGCAGCTCTGTCTAATACATACCGGATTCTTAGCATCCCTGTCTTCGGAAAAGATCAGCAAGATTGCCCAGACCAAAAGAATATGAACTCTCGCTAGATAACACAAATGTTACACAGCTTTCGTAGCGAGCAGAGATTTTAGGACATTTATGTCTAGAAGAATGTCTGGATTCAAGTATTCGCTACCTGAAATTTTGTGTGGAAACTGACTGAACTTGCTTTCTGTTCATATGCTATTAAATGACATAACCAAGAAAAAAAAACTTTTTGTCGCAGCCTGATCAAAGAAAAATATATTGTGAAAATTAACTGTTTATATATGTGAATATCGAAAAAGTAGCACATCAAATAAGTAATCAACAAGTTTATCTTGCCTCTCCAGTAATCAAACTCTAACATGCAGTTTCACGTATCCATTTTTAAAGTGTAGTTTAAAAGTCCACCTTCATCATTACAGATTTTTTGGAACAACGTAGATGACTAAAGTGAATATCCATATTGGCATGGCCTCCATTTTCCCTTTTGCTAAAAACTGATGTTACTGCAGTATCTTACCAACATATTGCTGTGGTTAATGCAGTCTGGATAAAAGGATTCAAGGAAGGTCCCCATTAATATTATCTCCCACCAGCATCTTCTTTCATGTTTCCTGTTTAACCCAGATCCCTTTTTTCTCGTCCTTCCCACATTAATGACACATGCACCTTGACATCAACGAAAGTAATTTAGGGGCCTAAAATCAGATTTCCTACAACCAAAATTGCATCAAAAGCTCTTTAAGTTAGCCGTATCAGAGGCTTTAGTACAGAGTATGTTGGACAAAAGGAAATAATTAGCGAGACGAATTTAAAACAGTCTAACTAACAGCTCCATTATTTATTTTTATAGCAATGCCACCAATGATCCACTTCAAGGTCTTCTTCATTGACTAGAAAAGTCTAAACGACTTGCACCTGAACTGCAATTTCTCTCATATTACATCTCTAGCAATAATCCTTTTATTGTTCTTAAAAATATCAAAATAATGTGCGGGTAAAGTATTAATCGAGCCACTCAAACAGTGCACAAAGTGCAAAAGGTGGAAGTTGAAAGAATGTGAGCTATAAAGACTGAAATATTAAATGATCACAATAATAAGAAAAAATGCAAGCATACTGCTATTATACACATAAGAAATGCAACCTAACGGTTACTGTTATATATATACATAGAGAAGACTAACAAGCTAATTCTCTTGAGGTCCTCGAAAAAAAGGAGGACCACGATGACTGATGAAAATAGCGGCAATTCTCCTTGCCACTTATGCTACATGAAAGCAAAGAGTTTTTTGTAAGCTTACTCTAGAGAACGTGTGATTTCTCCAACTATGTTCCAAGAGATCCAGAAAATAGTCAAGATTTTCATTTTAGCAATATTAGGTGGGAAAAAAAAAGTTGTCTATTTATAATTTTTGGCATTTACATGAAAGAAAGCGTAATGTGTGAGGAGTAAGAATTGGTTATTTGCAGCCATGATGAAGTAAGAGGAGCAAAATAATTATACTTGGGGCACCTCTTCCAATGCTTTAGTTGCTTGATAACATAAGATTTCTGGGCAATATTCTATCCACATTTATAACTAGGAATGAGATTGACATTCTGTTAGATCCTACTCGTGAAGTTTGCTAGATATATGTTCCATAGTATAGCTTCAGTAGCAAGAATGCAGGACTATAAAATCATATCATTTAGTGAATCTAATTACTTGCATTTATGGTCCACATTTTCCATTTAAGCTTGTGTGCTTTAGTTAAGAAAGGTTTGATAGCAGGACCATTGTCTGCAATTGATTTTTCTTCTTCTCTAAGTGATGGCTCCAAGGTGCAGGTTGCTTATCAGGTAGGCTTGACACATTTCATCACCTCTTCAGAATGTTATACTTGCATGATCATCTTTCTTGCCTCATGTAGGAGGTTCCAGATGCATATAGTAAGGCTGCTGCACTTAAAGCATACCCAAATGTGAGGCTGTCTTTCAAGGTTTTGTAGTTTGCGATCTCTGTTTAAGCATTGTTTGTCAGTTTATGCCTAAAACGTAATTCCTGTACCAATTTTCCTCTTTCAGGCAGTTAAATTGTGGCTGATGGACAAAGCTATACTACCCATAGAAAATTCTGTTGGTGGGAGTATCCACCGTAATTATGACTTAATCCTCTTCCACAAGCTGCACGTAGTGGGGGAGGTGTAGTTGCTCATAAACCACTGCCTCCTTGGATTGTCTGGCATTAGAAAAGAGGAGATAAAGCACGTCTTAAGCCATCCTCAGGTAAGTATTTCGTTCTCACGAGCAATATCCTTCCCCCTTCTTCTCCATTCTGGTTGAGAAAAAAGCCAGTGGTGCAGCATATGGTAAGGTTTATGCCTCATCAATGTGAAATTAAGAAGTTAGTTAATATATCCAGTTTCATATTTCTGAATTATGCTTCTAGACACCAGAAAAAAATAGTCGCTTTTTGAGATACCAGAAAATAATAGACTAATTAAGGTCTGCCAGTATTGATGAGTATCACTGTCTCTCTGAAAGGGATGAATTTTCATAGAACACAAAAATTGTTTAAAAATTAATGTACAAAATGTTTTGCTCTAAACCTGATCAAAACCAGCAGGACTACTGAGGCTCATCTTTGCGAGGTGGTCAGCACTTGAGCTCCCTTCTCTCCATACATCGCTCAGTTTGCATTCCCAGTTTCTCTCTGTAGACTGTACAGCTTCTTTACCATTTTGATCAAGTTACTATGCGGATTTTCCAATTTGTATTGCTCCACTAGTTGAATTCCCACTTGGGATTCGGATTCAAAGATTATCTTTTTCAATCAGAACATTTGGTTTCATTAGAAGTTTGTGTAAGCTTGGCCAACAGGGGAGACAAAAATAACTTCAAAAAGAGTGGCAAGATTGCACAAACCAAAAGCATATGAGCTCTTGCTGGAAAACACAAATGTTGCAGAGTTCCTTGTGTACAAACCGTAGTCCAGCAACTAGCTAAGAACCAAGGTGCTGATGGCGTCATCTGATGCAGAAAATTTTAGGACATTTATGGTGAGAAGAACTTCTGGATTCCTTTATTTACTGCCTGCAATTTTGAGTGATACCTAGATCTAACTGAACTTGCTTTCTATTCATATGTTATTAAATGACGTAACAAAAACTTTTTAAAAAAAAAGGAAGAAGAAACTTTTTATAAATCAATAAAAATATATTGTGAAAATTCACTGCTTAGATGTTCCATTTGAACATGTTGACATCGTCAAAGTGGCGCATCAGACGAGTAATCACCAAGTTTATCTTGCCTTTTCAGTAGTCAAACCGTAACATGCAGTTTCATGGACAACTTCATAAAGTGCAGTTTAAAAGTCCACCTCTATCTTTTCAGATTTCTTGGAATGAAGTCGATGACTAAAGTTGAATATCCAGATTGAAATGGCCCCATCTTTTCCCTTTGAAAAAATTATTTAAAACGTCCCTCATATTTTATCAAAATAAATTTTTTGCCGTTCACTTTTAAAATAATAACTTTACATCCCTCATAAAATCAAATCGCTAAAATTTAGTCATAACCTAAATTTTTAATCACTTTTTATCTTGAATCCATCACACAACCTACATATGGTCTTTTTTAAGGACAAAAAAAAATTAGATCCATTTGTAGTTAAACAAATGATATGGTCCATATTTATTTTTCTCCCTAAAAAAATAGGATTTGATCCAAACCGTATTCATTTTGTACTAAAACAAAGTGGAATCTGATCCAATTTATATTCATTTTTTCCTCAAAAAATGGTATCTAAGTTTTTTGTACATAAAAATAACTGCATGTGAGTCACATGATAATTTTAGACTAATTGATGGTTGAAAAATTAAATTGAAACAAAAATTTACTAATTTAAATTTGTAAAAAATGTAAAATTAAGATGTTAAAAGCAAAGAAAGAAAAAACTCATTTGGAGGGACGTTTTGAATAATGTTTCTTTTCCTTTTTGCTAAGAAGGGACACGAGTTACAGGTCATCTTACCAAAATATTGATGTGGCTACTACAATCTGGATTAAGGAATTCAAGAAAGGTCCCAATTATCTCCAGCTTTTTTTTTTAATATTGGTTTGTGCACACAAATCCAAATTTTTAAGCAAATTAATACAAGGAAAAAAAAACTTATCATTACACAAAATCTAAATGCATGAACTGCACCAATAGATGGTCAGTGTCATGTAACCAAGTTGAAAAGAGCCAAAAAAAAAGGGGGAGAACCAACCAATTGCATTAACAAAGAAGTACTAAAAGCTTTTTTCTAAAGGGAAATCATGAGTCTTGATAAATGTAGTTGAGAAATCTTAAAACCATTTAGATTTGACTTATGAAAAGAACATGAGAGGATAATCATGAGTCTTGAAAAATGTACTTGAGAAATCTTAAAACCATTTGGATTTGACTTATGAAAAGAACATGAGAGGATAAGGCAGCTGCATCGTCAATTCAAGTAAAAAGCATTCCTGGCTATCCAAGGTAGCTTTAGCCTACCATCGAACTTGTATTTTCTTGTTTTTAATCATGTTACTTTTGAGAAAAGCTCCACCAAATTTGTGGCGGCCGGCTACCTTTTCTTCTGAAAAACGTGTGAACTATACATGTTTGCTTCTTATATAAACCCATCATCCATCATGGTACATTTGAGAACTTAAATGCAATCATTTCCAATTTCATTTCAATTAAACCATGACAATTAGCCTACGACCTCCTCCTATTTGTTTCTTTGTGCTTCTCTTCTTTTTCCTGATAATACTGCTAGAAGCAAGTAAATCCACAGCAAGAACTTACCCTGATTCCCTGATTTCCGTGCCAAATCCCAGAACTATTAGGGGTGGAGATTCAAGAATGCTGATAGCTGACAAAAGGAGAGTATCGCACTTGGAAAGATTGAATTTTGGTCTCCTAGCAAAAGGGGTGGTGCATTCTTCCACTCCAAGCCACAGGGGACACAAGGCACCCATTTACATGAGACATTTATTCTAGCTCAAACAACAGCATTTTACAAGATATTAGAGCTGATGAGATGAAATAATGGGCATGCATATTTGAAGCTTTGCATGATATCGTATTTGTCATTTCATTTTCATCCTCTTATTCTAAATTTTGTTTACTTTACTCAGCAATGATCTTTGAAGATTTTACTTAATTGAGATCAATGTAACATTTTTTTTTCTTTTTTGAGTTTCTTCAGTGTTTGTATTAGTGAGAAGAAAGGTGTAAAATAAATGTTGTTGCCAATTTTCAGCCCAAATATTTTTTTCCTTGAAATTAAAGAGCTTTTTTGTTCCTTAAAGAAAACATACCTAATGGGAGTTCCTTAAAGAAAACCCCGTCTATGGATCTCACTGGTAGATTCGCTGGTTCAAATTTTGCCACATCATCTCACCAATTTGCACAATAAAGATGTGACAAAATTTGGATCATTAGTTTAAGGTTTCAAGATGCGCACTGCTCGTTAGAAAGTATTGTACTCAAAATACTTGTGTCAATTCATGAGTATTAATGTATTATGTCGCTATCAATCAAATGTTCTTTTCCCGTTATTATAGTACTGAGCTAACCTTTGAACAGCAATCGAAAGCTAATCCCAGATTAATTCCATTTTCAATTGAATTCTGCTCCTTTTGGAAATAGAAATTTGTCCCAAATATGTGAAGCAAATTAAACGTGTGGGAACCCTCAAACTATGCCGAATTCTCCAGCCTCCGACCCTCCTCTCAAGACTTTCCAAGAAAGGGCCAAAAAGTAATGCATGCTGCACGATGAATTTTAACAGTAATCTGATCTCCTAAAAGTGAAGTGCATGCAAAGAATGTAATGAACACAAATCTTCTGGTCCCCAGAACATGATCTTGATTGTCAATGATAAAAGCGTATTTCTCACAGAATTTTATGACATCTTTGAAAATGACCCTCGTAGGTTTTGCTATAATCATATGAACATCAAGATCGCAAACGCTTTCCACTTTGCCTGTATATAGTAATCAATAAAAGGGCCTTTTGAAGTCAAAAGTCTGATGCAATCTTCTCAATGGAATGAATTCATCATACTTACATAGTTGCACAGTGGAGCATATATTGGAAGGATTTTTCTAACGTGGCCGCTGATGGTTTACCATGAGAATGTAAACAGTCATGCACTACTGAATTTTGGTACTTTGCAATATTGGTTTCAATTTTTTCAATATATTAACACTCAAACCCCTCTTAATGATTGTCCTAGATTACCTGTTAGCCAAACCCATATATTGAAATTCAATTTGAATTTCTCACGCATTTTGATTCATTTATCAAAGTTCTTTAGGAAAAAAAAAGGTTTTACGTGGTCAGCATATTTGATTTTAAAAAACTTCATTTGTAAAGATTTTTTGAAAATTAAAAAAAAAACTGTTGGAGAAAAAATTTTACGCCAAAAAGAAAATCCAAACAAAAGGCGTTATAAAGGTTATCTGATTTGAGAGGGGCAGAGGACATCTGCATTATTCGGAAGGGCTGATCTTTTTTGTGGACGGTGCTTTCAGCAAATTTATCAACTTAAAGGTTGTTTGTCATCGTTTCACAACTATTTCCTTCACTTTAGTTATTCTAAGAGATGAACAGAAGTCAACCACCCAGGCAACATGATCTTTCGCTTGCTTTTCCTAGGACTATCCTCTTAATTTTAGTTGACAACTCATGCATCTTTCGCTTGCATTTTGGATAGTAGACCTCCCGCTTTGGTAGGATATCAAAATTTTTCAAATAATATTTCGCTTGTATCATAAATACATTTTTAACTCATTTTTTTATATCCTTAACCACCGTTTTATCTCGCATACATCACATCACAAAAAGTGTTACAGTAATTATTCCAAATACTAATATTTCAAATAATACTATATGAAATCATTGAAGAGGACTTTTTTTCTTTGCTTGATGATGGCTGATGAATTGGAGAATTGCCAATGATGAAAATTGAAAGAATCGTGGGTTCTAGTTCTTGGTCCTATGAAAATGAAGAATGCCGAGGAGGAGGAGGGAGAGGGGAAAAGAGGGGAGCAGAGGAGGGAGGGGACAACAGTATGTAATGGAAGGTGGCAGGAGGTAGTGGTGGTGGAGGAGAAGGCTGGTAGGGGTGGAGGGGGGAGGAGAAAAAATGATAATTTTAAAAAATTTTAAAAAA